CATCGTTATAAAACCTGTGAAGTTTTGTGCCGTTTGGAGCATGTTAACTGGAGTTCTGAGAAAACCGTGTTACCATAGCAACGAAATTTGACGAAATCTCAACACTGACACATATATGTCTCGAGGGCTTGACGGTTAGCACATATGTAAAGTTTGAACAGTTTTTGACCGTTTACACAGGACTTATAGCAATATGGTGCTTAACGGCGAGGGGTCTGTTGCCATGGCAACAGCTTTTGGGGAAAACTCACTATTGACATATTGAGGTGTTGAGGGCCGGACCATTAGCCATCATCTGAAGTCTGGTGCCGTTTGGACGATTTTCCATTGAATTAGGACAACACCGTGTTTCATGGCAAGGGATCTGTCGCCATGGCAACGGCACATGATGACATCCCATAATTTGCGTAGAGCTGTTCAGGGACGGACCACTAATGATAGTCTGAAGTCTGGTGCAGTTTGGACCATTTTCCATTGACTTAAGACAACATTGTGTTTTATGGCGAGGCATGTGTTGCCATGGAAACGGCATATGGTGACATCCCATAATTGGCGGAGAGCTGTTGAGGGCCGGACCATCAATGATAGTCTGAAGTCTGGTGCAGTTTGGACCATTTTCCATTGAGTTAGGACAACACCGTGTTTCATGGCGAGGGATCTGTTGCCATGGAAACGGCATATGATGACATCCCATAATTGGCATAGAGCTGTTGATGGCCGGACCATTAGTGATATTCTGAAGATGGTGCCGTTTGGACGATTTTCCATTGAATTACAACAACACCAGGTTTTTTGGCGAGGGACGCGTTGCCATGGAAACGGCATATGATGACATCCCCTAATTGGCATAGAGCTGTTGAGGGCCGGACCATTAATGATAGTCTGAAATCTGGCACCGTTTGGACGATTTTCCATTGAACTACAACAACATCGTATTTTTTGGCGAAGGATTTGGCCATGGAAACGGCATACGGTGAGATCTCAGATTTCACTTAGAGCTGTTGAGGCATGGGCCGGTGATATAAAAGTGAAGATTGGGGGACGATGGGACCGTGTCCATGTGTGATAACAATTTGCCGCCCATGTCTCGAGATAATACCCGACGAATTTCGAGTTGTTCGGAAAAACGCCATTTATCGCGAAGTCGGCCGAAGTCGGCCATTTGAAATTCAAAATTCAAAATGGCCGACTTCCTGTACGTTATTTTATACCCCTCCAAGAGGCTTTTTGGTTTGTCTCCGCACCCTAGATATGCGTAGCGAGTTTCGTTCGTTTACGTGAAAGTTAAAGTAGGGGGAGTTAACGTTAAAAACGGAAGTGGGCGTGGCCTACGCAATTTTTGAAGCAAAGTTCCGGAACTAAACTAAATTGATCATAACGATATCAATTATGCGAGTTGCAGTCACGTGGGCTCACGCGGCCTATCAGCCGCCATGATTTCCGATCCTTTTCTGTGCTTTTGCCGGTCGTTTTCCCTGTTTTTGGGTGTTTTTCGCAGGTTTATCAGTCGCTGCGCGACCGATTTCAATAGGGTCTTCGCCGACCTAGGTCTCAGACCCTAATAAGCCATTGCCCCCACAAAAAAGCGTTTGCTTCTAATACAGGCTATAATAATATAAGCAATATAATGAAGATTATTTTCACAAGTAACAAAAGTGTACATTACTACAAAATCACTTTAAAATCGAAGACTGTATAGGTTTAAATATACATATGTACAGTATATGTTTTAAACTGATTCCGTTTTCAATAGGTCATGCAGATACTAGTGAATGGTTTCACTATTGTATAATTATGTGTTTTATTGCTCAAGACTTTGCAATCAGGTTCTTTAAAAAGGTCCAATATAAATTAAGTTATTTTTGTATTATTATTATTCTGCTATTCAATGCATTTGGTTTAAGGGTGAAAAATAACGTTATCTGATTCATCTTGTGCGTTTTGCCCACCTGTGTCCAACTCGTCATGATTCCAAGTTCATTAGTGACAGTTTCTCATATATTATGTTCCTTCCTTCCTACGATTGACTTCATGCAGTCAGTGTAAATGAATATTAATAATGGTCGTTTCATTTACTATTGATAGGCGTTTAATTAAGCCTGCAAAAGGTGCGCCATATTTCGAGTTCAGAATGATTTATCAAGGGAAACCGGTATAGGATGTGTGTGTGCACTGTTATACGTCTGAATATTTTCAGGCACTTCAGGGTTTCATCCAAATGCAAACTTTTCACGCAAATCCTGCAACGGCACTGCATTTTAGGGACCCAAGCCAGCTTGCAGAAATATTCAAATTAACCATTTTTAAAATAGGCAAAACAAACCACATTTATATTGAATTAAAAAAATTGCATGATTTTTGTCAAATATTGTGTGGGATCAGAAAAAAGTACTTTTGATTATCCGTAGAAACCATTTGCATTGAGATATCATGAGTAGAAATGTGATACAGATGCTGTGCGCTCTGTAACCCTTCTATCAGTCCAAAATCAGCTCGTTATCATATCCTAAATTGATTAGTCCTGGTGTTAATGCGGGATGCCTACAAAGGTGGGTCTGATAATCTCATGATGTGGAATGAAGGCATTGGGAGGGATACTCCTCAGACTGCTGTGGGATCCAACTGTGATCAAAGAACTCCCAGTGGTTGGCAAATAACTGAACCAGGCAGAGAAATTGTCATCAGCAGGAGTTAAAATTACAGAGGAATACACACGTAGAACCACATACCTGTAACGTATAGTTGGCCTTTTCATTTATGAGCTGGCTGATGAATTTTGCTGTATGTTGGAAATGAACCTTTTCTGGAAAAAATATAATGATATATATGACAACATTTCAGGGATTTTTTTACTTCATGTAATGTTGAAAACTAGATAATAGATATATGGTTTTGAATATCTTTGTCCTACCATCAGCCGTTGGATGAATTATAAGAAACTTCTTATCCATGAACTGAGATGCTTTGTGTGCTAAATTTGCCATCTGAGGAGTAATGAGACACACAGCAACACATAAGATTAAATGAAATACGACAATAATTATGACGGAATTTGAAAAATCAGAATTCAAATGAAATCTTACTGTGTATGCCCTCGGATCAGGTTTAGGCAGCCCAAGATATCGCTCGGAAAATGCAGATGCTACAGGGTTAAGAGGGTTTCAATTACCAAAGGGTATCAAAACTTCATATAAATAACACATTTCGACAAGTAATTTCTGTCTTTTCTTTGGCCTTTTTAAAAAAGGAAGAAGTACACTTTTCCATTTTTTTAAAATTCAAATATATCACCCTTTTAGATATTATTTAGTCTCCAAGAAGTTGTGGACTGTCTTAATTTGCATTCCAATCTTACAAATGATCATTGCATGCCATTCACCCCTCTGGCAAACACAGAGAAATCCAATGTATAGGAAATCAGTCACACTGTGCTACCAACTTCTTCCTTAATTTGCAGTGTCCTGACTTGGTACAGCTAACAGACTACCGTCTCTCATTTTGCGTCACTTTCAACATACACTATTATACTTTTCACAGATTTCATTCCTTTGTTAGCTTATGTGAGGTTGCTGTTGTTAACTTGCCACATTATGATTGAGCTCCTTTTTCACATACACGTACAAAGCCACAGAAAAAACTCCCAGATGCACATCTCAAAGTGCGAGATTATATATACAGTGTATGTTCTTATACTTTCTGACAACACTGCCTAGATGAATATGCAGAGATAGCTTTTTGAAAGTAAAACAAAGTTCTGCCACAAAAACAGCTTACCGTATAATTCAAAGTCTGTAATGGGTGAGAGGACAGCAGCACACTTTACAGGGGATTCATCGCCCCGGACCAAACGGCTGGTCACAAAGCCTCCATATACCTGAGGTACAATAAACATGCATGTTATTGCCTGAGGAGGAATGTACTGAGTGCACTCAATTCAATATTTGAAATGCTTGTACTTAAATGTAATGCAGGTTTTTACTCCACTTGTCTTACAGCTTTAGTTACTTTTCCTTTTATAATTTTTCCTACCCTCCCTGTAGAGTGAAAACCACACAATTCCAAAGTTGATTTTGAATGTTTGCAATATATACCAAAGGATACATTTTTCCTTTATGGGTTTAGAAAAAAAGATTCTACTGTAGGCTACTATAACTATTTAACACTAGAACGTACATATAAACCGCAGCTTTTTCTTGATTGTATGTAACTTTTTTTCAATAAAATATTCAACTCTCCCAGTCCGTGACTTTTCCTGAAAGTCTGTTACTGTATGTAGCACCCTTTTTTGTTAAAAATTGTCAATATCAAGTCAGATTGAAAAAATTGCCAAATAAGTGCCAGCTTGTAATATTTACCTTATAGAAAATGCAGTGATTCTTGCGCGTTAGTATAAACATGACGTGTTGCTATAGCAACGCCTGTTATTTACTGCGGTTCCTCATAGAGATAGATAGAGAGAGGTAGATAGATAGATAGATAGTTATAGATAGATAGAGAGAGAGATAGAGACACAGCGATATTTTATACTTCATGCTATCTGCACTATATATCATATGAAAGCTGAGAGAGTCCACCGACTTTATTGGTATAAGTTTCATCACTGTGCGATCAAAACTCACTGTG